TTTTATCCTTGAAAAATGAGTGCAGGAAATGCTTCTAAAATAATTGATACTGCCCTTGTTAAAACTGGTTGTTACTGGCTAGATTCCAGCATGTGTTCTTTTTCTTTGGGGGGGTCGTACAGGGGGAGTAATTCTGTTCCATGCCAACACATACACAAATTGTGATTCTTCAACATCACGTAAGAGCACCTTTTATATGATGTCAGTCACTTGGTATATTGTAAAATGTGACCTGGAGATTAAAATAACAAAGAAAATGCTCCCTGTATTTAGATCAATTAGAATATGCCTTTTAACTCTTGTGTGGCAATATTTGGTTAAAGCATTGTGTGGCAGCAGAAGCAGCTTTGCTGCTGAAATCTATTCAGTTTATGTATTTTACGTTTCACACGGATGAGGAATGACTGAAATGTCAGCTCCGCTGGGGCAGAGATTTTGTTCAGTGTTAAATCCCTAGCACCTAGAACGGTGCCTGACACATGGTGAGTGTTCAGTAAACAATGCGCTAAAATAATGAGCTAACCACTAGACAACCACAAGTGAAAAGCACATCTACCACCCTTCACTATCAGACGTTTGTCCGGTATTCGGATTGGAGGCTGCCTACACGCTCCCACAGCAACCTGTGCCTCTTGCAAGTTACACCGCGCCCCTCAACCTCGGTCCCTAGGATCGTACGCACAGGGCCATGTCTGGCAGCATTGCAGTTTCTTACTGGATATTTGTGACGGAATGCATAGTGCCTTAAAGTCTTCTGTACTGCTTTTATTTATTTATTTCTAAATACATAATTGTTATTATATATTTTTCCCATTACCGCTTAGTCCCCTCACACAGCCCTTCCCTCAGCATTTGGTATCATCAGTTGACAATCCCGTGAAGTTGGCTGATAGTATTGTCCCAGCTTTACCAGTGAGGGAACAGAGGTTAAAGAGAATACGTTAGTTGTCCCAGAAAGCCTTGGGTCATCAGTAGCAGAACTGGGACCCTAACATCCATATGTGCTAATTTCTTCATCCTTGTTCTTTCCAGAACAGTCTTTAAAACATTAAATAAGCATAGATTTCCACTCTCTGCCCTCCAGTTGAAACTCCCTTTACTCAAGACTATGACAGGGGAGGAGGTTACTATGCGCAGCTTTGTCTGAATTGCCATCCATGCCTTTGTCATCAGCCACAGAATTGGTTGGCTGTCACATTGGATTACTCATTAATAGATTCTTTTTTGTTGCCTGTGATGGGTACCTTTCTGTGGGGGGGGGGGATCCAGCCTTCATTATTTTGTAGAATTTATACTCTCTTCTCCTAAACATTTTAAAATGTAAATTCGTTGATACTGTGAATCTAAGTTTTTAAAAGCCATATTTCCAAAGCTATGAGAAGAATGTTCTTCAATATATTCTTGCCTGGTCCCCCCGGTCATTTCGAGATAGGAATTTCAGAAGTGTTGAATTGACTTGGCTGGTATTTCTGGAATCGGTCCCTTTGAGGGAGAAACTTACCCTGTGGTATTAGAATAGAATAAATAAAATGCTGGCCAAACTTTTAACACAGTGGTAACACATTTTCCCAAAGGCATTTACTGAAGCTAAAAACCAAACAACACATAGCCAAGGTTCTAAGTAAGAAAGGATTTCAAAATCTGTGTATCTGACCTAACTCTGATTTCTGTGTATTCTCTATCAAGAAAGAGAATTCGGTGACTTCAGTAAGATTGTACTCAGTTTGATTAGTAGGGCAGACTTCGTTCTGTCAGAGTGTTAGATGTAAACTTACTGCTGTTACCTTACGAGTGACTTTAATGACTTTAAAGGGGTACGTGCATAATGTTTACCACGAAGCTTTAATTTCATTGGGAAGTAGCAACAAGAATCTAATCCCTTGTGCCTGCCATGGATGTTTACCCTTAGTGTTAGAACTGAGGTACAGATGGGAATAAACTAACAATATAGTCTTTCCTCCAGGATCCAACCGTGGAAATGTACCGGCGGGGCAAAAGCAGGCTTACAGTTGTTCCTATGGAAAATAATACAATAGCCAATAAATAATAATACAAGGATAAACTCTGTTTCACGTGCTTTCAACTGTAAAACCCACTTTTGCCCCATCCCGTGTGGTGGGGATGCCAGGAACAGTTCAGGGTGGAAAAAAACACATTTTCTTTTCTGGTCTGGTGCCTGACTTCTCAGAGGAGGCGGGACACGGCCCTTGTGTTTGTTCTGGCTCTTACAAAGCGAGATCACATCATCCTCAATGCGGCTGTTTTTATTAGCAGCTTCACAGTCCATGCCTTTGTTGTCCTGCTGCACAGTAGGCAAGGGTGACGAGCGGAGTGAGCTCAATAAAGGCCTTTCAGGGAGCGGCTCTGAGTTTGTCACTGCCATCTGTCCTCTTCTCCCCCCTTCTTTACAGGCTATTCACATTTGTGAGACTCTTAGATTTCTGATTGGTGTGGCGTGGACACAAGGTAGATGCTAAGGAAGAACTGGAGGTGAGCAATATTTCAAATGAATAATTTAGAAGAAAATAGCAAAGTCTTGTTTACTCTCGAAGTCACATCAGACATCAGATATGAGGCATTCAGATTATTTTATTTTAGTTCTTAGTGACTTTTGTTTTCCTAATTTTTGAACTCATCCATGTCTCTCCTCTACGACTTGAGTCCTTTTGGAAAGAGGGTGCCAGACATCACCTATTTCCAACACTGGGTGGTGCCGCATCCTACCTACCTCCATCGGGCAGATTGGTGCAAGTGTGGTTTCATCTTGTTGAAAATCTTTTGTCTTTCTTGGAGCAGTGGGAACGTGCTGTTATCAACAGAGCGAGTACTGGGACCAGAGCGCTTTCCGTGTGACAGGCAGTTTCTGTCTGAGACACCTGCTGCCCGAGCACACTGCACCCATTGTTCCTCCCCCCCGATGTGCTCCGGGTCGTCTTTTTTAGCCTGCAGTTGAGTCTTGGCTTTTTTCCTGCATGCATTTCACTTTTGGTGGAGCAAATTTCTGTCTTGTTCTTCTGGTTTTGCTGATACGAATTGGCAGCATATGGAGGTGGTTCATACAAACTTGTTTTCGAAGAGTGAATGTTGAGACCTTGTGGAAAGAGCACTTGGTCGAAGCGGAGGCAGGTGATCTGGACCCTCATCTCTGCCGTGCTGGCTGGGTGGCCTCAGGAAAGACACGTGACCTTTCTGGGCAGCAGTGTCCTTTGTAAACCTACAGGGTTGGGCTTCTTAGAGTGCTGCATTGCCAAGTCCTGGAGTGTTAAGATTCCACCATTGTGTTTTGGGTTTTCCGAGATGCTGAGAGTATCAGAAATGAGTGTGGTGGGGCTCCCGGAGGGCCCTGCCTCTGTGGAATTGCAACACCAGGCGGGGCTCTTTTTGAATGCATTAGTTAGGGAAATAACCACGGGCTTTCTGTTTCTTTGTTGCAAATTTGCAGAATAACAAATAAAACTCCCTTACTTCTGGGAAAGTGCTGTTGTTAGCCCTGGAAGTGTTATGGGCACCTAGGTGTTGAACCTCTGAACGAAGAATTACCCAGTTTAGTCAAGAAGACAATGTATCCGCACTTACCTGTTGGATAAGGTGACGCCCACAGGTCAGGCTGGTGTAGCTTCGCACCCCATTTCTGATTTGTGTTCCCGCAGTATGTAATAAAGACCTTATTTAAAAATATTCTCAATCTGTAAGGAATGCGTGTTAATTATAGAAAATTTGGGAAGCACAAAGAAGGAAATACAAATATCTTCTAAGCCCATGACCCAGAAATAGCTTTTGTTCAAACTGTGGTGCCTTCAGATTATACACACTCGGTTTGTAGAGCAAAATGTGGATCAAACCATACATATAAAAATTGACATCTTGCTTTTTGCTTTCCGTGTTCTTTTTGAACTTGTTTTTGGGACTCAAGTTTCAAGTGAAGGTAGAGTAATGTAATATTATGCTTGGCACGCTGGTGACCGGTCTGCTTTGACTTACAGAAGTAGAATTATGGACCCAGTCTCTGAAAATAGCACTTGCCCTGTTCCTTCTCTAATGGGCTTTCAGATTAACGTGTACAGATGTCATCATAACTATTACAGTAATTAACAAATGAAGACTTCCTAATCTACTAATTATTGTTCACTAATTGCTTTTATAAGATGCCCTCGTTTTAGATTTCTGGGCTGGAACTGCTTGCTCCAACGTGCATCGCGTTAGCGCTGTCTTTCTGGATGCCCTGACTTCTCAGGCAGGAGCATGGCAGCCAGTGTGAAACATTTATGATTCACATATTGAATATTGCTTTCATATATCATTTTCCTTGGTTAGACAATGAGAGATAATTAGTTTTTCCTTCGGATTATTCAGCGTCTGCAATTTCCTGCTCCACCATTCGTTCTGCAGTGGAAATGCATTCTGAATCCTGAGCCACGCTGGAATTTTTTTTATGACCTTTCCCTCATGTGTCTTTTGGTGGTGCCTTTTGATGTCTTAAAATGTTTTTATATTTGACTGAGATTAAATCTGGGTTTCATTTTACTTTCTTAAAAAAAAAACATATTGAGCAAGTTAATTTTTTGTTCAAGTTCCTAAGGGGAATGATTCCAACCCTCTGTGTCCCAAGAATTCTGCCTGAGCCTTGCCAGAACATTCCTGTGGTTTTCCACGGGGCAGATCAATGTGTTCATGAAATTTCAGTTGTAGCTTGTGTTTTCTGTGGTTAATTAAAACATCTGCTTTTTAAATTTTCCACAAACAGAGCACAATCGTTTGACCAAGCCTTTTCAATAGTGATTAAATATTTTAATCCTTCCTGCACAATAGCTCATGCTTGTCTTTAGGGTACCTTATAAGCTGTTGTCTGAGCTCATTAAGGATTTTAGACATTTAAGAGATGTTTGGGGTTATCCTGCAAAATATATATGAGAGAGAGAGAGACAGAGAGAGACAGAGAGAGACAGAGAAAATTCATGAATCTGCATCCTTCTAATGGCTTCTGGCCTTTGCCCCTCCAGGTCGGAGCTGCTTGGGTGAGCTGCCGCGGCCCGTAGCCAAGCATGCTGTGGTCGGATCTGCCCAGCTGTGGAACAGAAACATTTGCTGGATGGAAAATCCATAAAAGAAAGCTGCTGTGAAAGCCTGAGACAGACCATAACTTAAGCAAAATCAGGTTGGTATGAGATAAGAGAGGCTGGACTAAGTGGCTGGCGTCAGGCAGGGAAAAGTTGTTTTGTTCATTCCATAGAGTGTTTTTGAGGCAGCCCGAAATGATCATTCCAGTTATTTGAGAGATTCCTAGCATCAGATAAGTGGCTGATGCTGTACCCTGACACAGGTCTGTGGACAGGGTACTGCTGTGTCCCTTCTCCCTCTCCTCTGCCCGCCCTCTCTCACCCTCTTCTTCCAGAGGAGGGAGGGAGAGCTCAAACACAAATATGTGAGAGGCCACTACCAGAGGCCGGTCCTGACAACCTCAGTGATCCTGGCCTTATTTTGGAGAGAAAGCAGTGCCCCTTGGAAAGCTGGGCTGGCCCTGGCCCTTGCAGGGACTTGCCCCCCTTTGGGATTTCACACTGAAGGGTGGATCAAGGGGATCTGCCGTGCTGCGGGGAGTCTGTCTGTGCTCCTTGAGTTTGTTTGATAAGATATTACTTTTATCTCCCCCCAAACAAAAGCTGGCAACACATTTGGTTTCAGCAGTGTGCTGCTCACATAGGACAAAGGAGAAGAAATGTCCTGAAAGTAACAGGGATAGAAATAAGTACAGAATAGTGGACCAGGAGAACAAAACGGCAACTCAGCCTCACATGTGGCAATCAGGTGGAAAATCATTCATTTTGAGAAAGTACATTGTATCACAGGGACGGGTACTGCAAGCATTTTCTGTGGGAACTTCGGTGGGACCTTCAGTGGGAAACTCAGCATTAGGCATAATAAGCAGTTAATAAATACTCACTAGAAGGATGCAACTCAGCGGTCTTGAGAACCTGTGGAGTACTGCACGTCCATGGACTTTGCCCGCCCAGCATCCTTTCCTCCTTCAACAGGTTACCTTGGTTTTCCCTGGGCAGTCACCCTGGCTTTGTGTGCAGCCTGTGTGGTTAGCGGAGGTGACCCCACTGCTTCCATTATGGGCATGTGACATCAGCCTGGCTAGGCAGGGTCTCAAGGACCAGTTTACAGAGGAGCCCTATTTTCCCTGAAACTGTTGCAAAGACATTTTTCCTTTTTGTGGGTTTGTGGAGCTGGACCTGCTGGTTACTCTCTTTGCTATGACTTAGGGAAAGCCTTTGTGAGAGTGAAGTCAGCTCAGGAAATCAGAGCAGCGCTGGAGGAAACAAGTAGGGAGGGAAGGGGAGACACACACAACACACACGACTCAGGGTGGCGATGCCGCAGCACCTAAAGCCAGCAACTCCATTGTCATTTTCCTCGCAGGTTAGCTGGTCAGTTTGAGTTAGGTGTCCATCACTCACATCGGCAAACATTCTGATTGGCAGTGACTTTTAGGATGAGGCCTTGGTGTGAAATGACTGTGTCAGTCCCTGTACTCAGGCTCACAGAGAGAGGACACGCTGGATTGGTCTTTGGCTAGCTGACAGTGAAAAACATATCGCTAGAGGTTGGAACTATGTTCTGAGGGAGCAGAAGAGATGGAATGAATCCTGCTGGGCAGTGGTGAGACTAGCAGAGAGCTATTTAATAAAAGAGAAATAGGATTTAGTCCTCAAGAAATTCTAAAAAATATATTTAATTCAAGTACTTCCTGTTTGAATCAGAAAGAAAGGGAGGCTTTCCAGAGCCTATTGTTAAAATAAATTACAGATAAGGAAGATAATTTCAGAGTTCGCTAGTAGTAGAATCTTGCTGTTTACTGTAAACACAATTGTTTGGGGGCAGCCACATGAGAGGTTATCAGAGAGCTGTCCAGAGTTTATTTTAATACTGCAGGGCAACAAATACTCTTACAAAAGCCTCAGTTGGCTTTCTGTTCTAAGCAGAATTCCAACTGTGTCACGAATTTTAAAGATTTATTTCCTCTTCTCAATGGTTTATTTTTTATATATTTTTTTTAGTCGACATGGTTTGCTTGTTAAAAAACTCTTAGACTTTTGAGGAGGGCAGTTTTAGTTTACAAAAAAACTGAGCAGGAACTTCCTACCCCTCCTCCTTCAGGTGTTCCTTGTTTTTAACATCTTGCGTGTTAAAACCGGTGAGCCAATATTAATACCTATGATTAACTAAAGTCCATAGTCTACATGAGATTTACTCTTTGTGTTATATATTTTGTGAGTTTTGACAAGTAATTAATGATATATATGAATTTATTTAGTTGGCCAAAAAAGTTTTTTCTTTTCCTTTTTCTTTTCTTTTTTTTGGACACTGGTTCTGGTAGTGGTTAGTTGTCTTTAACTTCAGTTGAAACGATTTGTATTGTGACAGCTGACATATCTGCGTGCGTTAAAAACAAATTTATCAAAATTGGTGAATTTTTGTGCTGCCATTTTAATACTGAAGATGGAGGAAGATAAGTAACACTTTTGATGTATTATGTTTTATTTTTTCAAGAAAGGTAAAAGCACAACTGAAACACATAAAAGACTTGTGCAGTGTATGGAGAGTGTGCCAGAAGTGGTTTGTGAAGTTTCTTGGTACTGTTGACATTTTGGCCAAATAACTCTTTGCTGTGGGGCTGTCTTATGCATTGGAAGGTGTTTAGCAGCAGTGCCTCTGGCCTCTCTCCACTAGAAGCCAATAGCCGACATATTCAAAGTACCCAAATCAATAAAGTTATTGGTGAAAATGAAAAATGTCTTCTATTTTATGGAAAAAACTAAATGGACTTTTCGGACAACCCAATAATTTAATAGTATCACACACAATACTTCCACTGTCCTGAAAGTCCCCTGTGTTCTAACTAATCATTCATTTCTCTCTCCCCCTGAATTTCTGGTAACTACTGATCTTTTTACTATCTCCGTAGTTTTTCGGAACGTTGTATAGTTGGAATAACACAGTATACAACCTCTTCAGATTGGCTTCTTTTCACTTTGCAATATGAACTTGAGGTTCCACTGTGTCTTTTCCTGGCTTGATAGTTTCTTTCTTTCTTCTTTTTTTTTAATGACAGTTCTGTCATTTTCATTTACTACGGTTTGTCTCTTTACCTACTAACGGGCATCTTTGTGGCTTTCAAATTTTGGCAGTTATGAATGAAGCCACTATAAACATTCCTGTGCAAGTTTTGTGTAGTCATAAGTTTTCCACTCTTTTGGGTAAATACCAAGGAACATAATTGTTGGATGGTATCATAAGAGTCTGTTTAATTTTGTAAGATACTGCCAAACTGTTTCCCAAAGTCTCTGCACCATTTTGCACTTGCACTAGCAATAAGTGACAGTTCTTGTTTCTCCACACCTTCCTCAGCATTTGGTGTAGTCAGTGTTTTGTATGTTACCTGTCTAAAAAAGGTATATAGTGTATCTCATTGTTCTTTTTATTTGCAGTTCCCAGATGATGTGTGATGTTGAGTATCTTCATATGGTGTTTGCCATCTGTGTATCTTCCTTGGCGAGGTGTCTGTTCATATCTTTTGCCTATTTTTTAAAAAATTGGATCGTTCATTTTTTTATTGTTGAGTTTTAAGAATTCTTTGTGTTTTGGATACCAGTCCTTTATCAAATAAGTATTTTGCAAATATTTTCTCCCAGTTCTGTGGCTTGTCTTTCTATTCTCTTGACAATTTCTTTCACATAGAAGAAAATTTCAATTGAAAAGAAAATTGTTAATGAAGTCCATCTTATCAGTGATTTCTCTCTTGGGTTGTTCGTTTTGTATCTGAAACAGCATTGCCAGTTCAAGGCCATCTAGGTTTCTCCTGTGTTATCTTCTTGGAGTTTTATAGTTTTACATTTTACTTTTAGGGCTGTGATCTATTTTGAGTTAATATTTGTGGAAGGTTTAAAGTTTTTACTTACATTTGTTTTTTCTTATGTGGATATCCAGTTATTCCAGCACCATTTATTGATATTACTTCCCTTTCTTAGCTGAATGGCCTTTGCTCCTTCGTCAGAGATCAGTTGACTGTGTTTGTGTTAGTCTGTTTCTGGGTTCTCTGTTCTGTTCCATTGACCTGTTTTTCTCTATTTTCACCAACACCACACTGTCGTGATTATTATAGTTTGTAGTAAATCTTCTGGTCAGGTAATGATAGTCCTCTGACCTTGTTCTTTTCCTTCAATATCCTATCGATGGTTCTGGGCTTTTTGCTTCTCTGTGTAAACTTTTGAATGAGTTTATCAATAGCCACAAAGTAACTTGCTGGGATTTTGATTGGGGTTGTGTTGAGTCTATAGGTAAAGTTGGGAAGAACTGACATCTTGGCAATATTAAGTCTTCCTGTTTATGTACATGGAATAACTATTTCTTAGATCTTCTTTGATTTTTCCATCAGTTTTATAGTTTTCCACATGTGAATCTTGTATATATTTTGTTTGATTTATATCTAAGTATTTCATTGATTTGGGTACTAATATAAATAGTATTGAATTTTTAATTTCAAATACCAATTGTTTATTACTGGAATATAAGAAAGCAAGTAATTTGTGTGTGTGTGTTTTAAAATACATGTTTTATTACTGCCAGCAGGAGGGACATGCCTGGGGTGGGGGTGCACTGTGCTCAGGGTATGTGTGGTCTGTGGGGAGATGATGCCTGGGAAGCTGGAAGGGAAGGGGGTGGTCTGGAGGCCAACTCCATGGGCTCCTCAGGTTTACTTCTGGGAACAGCTAAAGGACTCATGGCAAGCCACCTCCAGGCCACCAGTAAGATTAAGAAATTCTTGGAAATCTAGCTGCCCATCACTGTTCACGTCCAGTCTCTTCATCATGCGGTCAAGGACACCGGGGTCCTTCTGGTTCTTTGTGAAGGCAGCCAGTTCTGTATTCATGAAGGTTAGAAACTCAGTCTTGGAAAGTGTAAAGCTGTTACTGTCCTTTCCGGCATACCTCCAGAAAACAGCAGTCCGAGACTTGATGTACCGCTAGGTCTCTGTAGGGCTGGACATTTTTGCCCTGTTGGAGCAGAGTGAGGCGTGCAGGCTGTGAGCGGCGAGCGGCCGCAAGTCACTTTTATATATTAATTTTTTACCCTGAAAACTTGCTGTAAATG